CAGCGCGACAACCCGCCTGCCGCCTCAGCCCCACCGCGGACTCGCCCCGCGACGGCATCTGGGCGGGGCCACGCGCTCTGCACACGCCCCGCGAGGGCATCTGGGCGGGGCCACGGCGCTCGGCACACTCCCCGCGAGGGCGTCTGGGCGGGGCCATGCACTCTGCACACGCCCCTGTGGGCCTCTGGGCGGGGCCACGTGCTCGGCACACTCCCCGCGAGGGCGTCTGGGCGGGGCCACGCGCTCTGCACACACCCCACGAGGGCCTCTGGGCGGGGCCACATGCTCTGCACACGCCCCTGCGAGCCTCTGGGCGGGGCCAACGCACACTGGACACGCCCCGCTCACCGGCCCCTGGGAGCCCGCAACCCTCGCGAGTCGCCATCTGCCCGCTCAAATGACCCCCAGCCTGGCGGGTTTCCAGACCTTGCTGGAGCCTGGGCGGGAGGTGGGCGTCTCTCGAGGGCTCCCCGCCGTTCCTGGGGCAGAGCCGGCGTCGCCAGCACCTCGCGCTGTGCGGGGAAGTGCACCCCGGGGCGGCGCCGGGACAGCCGCTGCGGACGGCAGGTGGCAGTGGCCCGCGCCGTGCTCGGTGCCCGCGACGTGCACTTGGTGGAAATCCGCGCTGCACGTCGGAAACAGTCTTCAGTCCTTCTCTCCTGAAGTAACCGATTGTCCGTCTTTTGCCATACCCATAAATAAATTCGAGCTGTAATAAAATGCTGCGTGTATTTTACATGAAAATTAGACCGCAATAAAACGTTTTCCCTATTCGATGTGCTCACACGAAATCAAATACGTGCTTTTAAAATGAGAACTTGATGCTGGCGCATAACAGAGTTAGAAACTAAAGCTTGTATTGAAGTGAGTCATGGAGAATGCCTTCAGCGGCATTTTGCTCGAAGTTAAAAAGTGAAGTGTTGTAAATGTGGAGTACACGGTGCGAACAATACACGAGGCAGCTGTCCGGTGGCTGGAAAGGACACTAGGATATGCTCCAGGTAAAATCTATTTCAAAAATAAAATTTCGCATATGTTCCTCTATCTATTAACTGTATTTCTTCATCTTAGATGGAGATACATGCATGGGCACAGGTTCTGTTGAGGAAGTTCGAAAGCGCTGTAACAAATCTGCTGTATACTTGCACATTCACATCTCTCCGTGCTGGCCTCTGTCTCTGTGTGGGAAGATAGGCAGGGTCCGGTGATACATCTGTAAACACCTTGAAAAATCTGAATGTATATGCATATAATTGAATAAGGAATGTGTATTTTTAAAAAAGATTTTTGCTCACACGCCATTGACAGAAAGTGGGGCACCACCCTCTCGGGGATGGCCATGCCACAATCCCCTCTCCATTCTCCTCCTGGGGTCTCGGGCACACACACACCTGGGGTGACTTGTAAGCTGCAGGGTCTGGGGCTCGAAGCCCAGTCCACTGTGTAGGAGTCCAGCGATGAAAACGTCACGTCACGTCACCTGCTGATCCCTGTATACATCTTTTCATTTGTAAACGTCTGTACTTGCAACGTCTACAGCAGCATTCTATTAAACTCTGTAACTTACAAGGCATTTTGATTTACTCTTTGTAGTCCCATAGCAGGCGCTCCCGGGACTCTGATGTCGGTTTTCAAGTCGCCGGCAGCATCTCCCTCTTCTGGATGACAGGTGGCACTGTGACACACGTTTCTGACCCTCCTGCACATTCCCAGCAACGCCTCCCTACGAACGCCGTGGTTCTTCACCGAGGAAATGAAGTTGCTTGCAGGGCTGGCTCACTTTCTTACAGGAAAGGGCATTCATTTATCAAGATAACGAAAGCAGTACTGGCTTATACTCCAAAATACAAAATAATTATCCAGGAGTCTATAGCTGTGTGAAGAAATACCAAATGAACAACCAGGAACTAGGCTAATATCGCACGCACGACAATTCCGAATAGCGTATTCAGGGACTCCTTCCCCAAGGAGGTGACTGCACCCCTTGCGTAGGTGTGGCTCTCAGAGTAAGCACCTTCATGGAATTCGGTATGAAAATCGGGAGGGAGGAGTTGTTTTACAGGGGCAGGTCCAACAGCCATGATCTCAGCCAGGTGCCGAAGGGCCACATGGTAAGTCACGTCGATGGTGCCATTGCTGGAAGGCCGTAAGGACCCTACCCCAGCGAGCCTTCGCCCAAGATCGAGTGCCCCAGTCTAATCGTGAAAAACCTCACGTCGATCCCAGTTGAGGGATAGTGTTACAAAATATTTGACAAGTGATGCGCTAACACGTGGAAGTCCTCACCAACAAGGGGCGACTTTAATCCGGTCACCATCTGGGGACGTAAGGGGACAGACAAGTGCGTCACCTGGAACAGGAAGGGACCTTGCAGGAAGCGTGAGTGCGTGCGTGGTGCTCCTTTACCTGACTGGGGATGCTGCACCTAAGCCTAAGGACACAGAGAGGCTGTGAAGGACATGAAGGACAGTAATGGCACCTCCGTGTAAACCACGGTTCAGACGCACACAGTTTTTCATCACGTCCACGAACTGTGCGCCCCCCTTGGGTGAGGGCCCTGGCTGGGGGGCCAGGGTCAGGCTTCCCGCGTGTCTTCATAGGAACTCCGAATGGCGGCATAGAAATTCACTGTGCACACTTCCAACTGTTTCTGTACACTTGACCTGTTTTTCACAGTTTATGTATATTTATTTGTTTGTTTATTTTGAGAGAGTGCATGTGCACTCACCAGAAAGAGAGAGAGAACGTGAGAAATCACCCCCCAGGAGGATGGCCAGGCCACGATCCCTTCTCCATTCTCCTCTCAGGATTTTGGACATGCACGCACATGTGTCTGCTGTGAGTTTCAAGCCACTGGATCTTGGACTCAAACCACAGTCGGCCATGTCGGAGTCCAGTTCCCTAACCGCAATACAACCTGCCGGCCCCTACAGTGTATTTTTAAAACACGGGGCTGGCCGGAGGTGCCACGGTAATGCAGTGCTCGGTGTGGCATTCCCACAGAGAATTCCTGCGTCCCCATGTCCCAGACCTCCCCAGGATGCTCCAGGCACACAGGCATGCCTAGGACGCGGACTGGGTGGGCGGGAGTGGATCGCAGCAGCGTTGGGGGAGCCTCTCTTTCTCTCCCTCTCTCTCTCTCTTTTTCTCTTTCATTAAAGGAATAAATGAATAAACTTCTAAAAAAGATAAAGGGAGTTGTGGTTTCTAGCCCAGTGAGTACCCCAAGAACCATAACCCAGCCTATACCGCGTGGGCAAATCAGTGTACAGGGAGGGTGAAGGGAACGCTGCGACCGACCAGCAGACTGCGAAGTCATGCCCGTGTGCTGCTGCCGTGAGCGAAGTGCCACTCCGTCCGTCCCACACATGACTGTCCTCAGCTGCAAAAGCAATGGTAACCACGGAGGAACATGTTAGCCATAGGATCACAGCTGGACCCATCCGCCCACAACTGCACACGGGACTCTGCCAGGACGCGGAGAGAGCGCCGCATGTCGGTGAAAGCCACAGAAACGTCGGAGAGCCTGTCTGCCCTCCGGCTGCCGTGCATCCGGGATAGTCGTGATCGTTTTCCGCGTGGTTGGGAACACTTGAGTGATTTTGAGTTAGAATTTAAACAGAATCCCTATGCTACAGAGGAAAGGCTATGAATAGTTTTTCTTTCTTTTCTTTCTTTCTTTCTTTCTTTCTTTTTTTTTTTTTTAGAGACTTTTGCTATGGGGTGTGTGCATTCACAAGAGAGAGGAGAGAGAGAGAGAGACAGAGAGGGAGAGCGAGAACGATCACCCCCCAGGGGAATGACCATGCTGCAATCCCTCTCCTTCATTCTCCTCTTGGGGTTTTGGGCACACACGCACACGTGCCCCGTGAGAGTCCAGCGCCTTAACCAGTAAGCCACCTCTGGCCACAGGCTATGAATAGTTTATGAGACATGAAATATTTACATCTGAGTCTTCATTCGGCTCTACATGTGCTTTGCCCTTAGTCCATGGAAATAACTCTTTCGAAGACCATCCCGGCCCTCATGCTGTGCACGTCCGGGAAGCACTTCATCTCACTTGTCAG